AACACGCTCGATCTTGCCTGGACCAACATCAACGGAGCACAAGCATGGGTGGATCGCAACGAGTGCGTCACCAGCGACCATCTTCCGATTCGAGGACGAGTCCCCACCGGATCCGGAAAAAGGGACCAGGAGCCTTCACAAATCAGGGTAACACGTAGCAATTTGCCGAGATTCGCCCTTGCTGTAACGCAGTTTACACACCCGCCAACAGCCCTGGACTCGGTTTGCAAGGCGAACGAATACGCCAACAATCTCTGTTCCGGCCTTACTAACGCTATCAAAGCAATAGGAAAACGAAGGAACAAAAGACACGGCAAATGTGCGCCTTGGTGGACTCCAGAATTCAAGCTGGCTCGCACAGAATATCGTGCAGCAGTGACTCCAGAGCAACAATGGGTGCATGCAAAGAAGCTACGTTCAACCCTCAGAGTGGCAAAGAAAGAGCACCAGACGCGTCAAGTCGAAGCGATCACGACACCAACTGATGTGTTCAAGCTGATGCGCTCGGCCGAGTCAAGGCAATCAAGTACCCCCCCTCTGCTGAACCACGAAGGGAAGATGTACTCCGACCCAGCCGAGCGAGCAGCGGTACTCCAAGATGCTCTTCTGGCACGGCACCAAGCAACGGACGATCTACCGCCACTTGATGCGCCAAGCACTAACCGAATCCCCTGGAACGACCATGTCTCGGACGAGGAGATACGCATGTGCTCCATAGGCTGTGCCAACACAGCGCCTGGAGCGGACGGGATCTCTATGGAGCTTCTAAAAACCTGCTGGAAGACTATTGGACCATTTGTTGGTACTCTCTTCCGCGCCTGTATCAGACTTGGCATCCATCCTGCTTCAATCTGGCTGAAGTGGTGCTCATACGCAAGACGAGCCGGGATCCAACAACAGTTAAGGGCTGGAGACCGATTGCCCTTTTGTCATGCTTGGGTAAGGGACTAGAACGACTCTTGGCGAAGCGGATGGCCCATCTCGCGGTTACGTTCGACGTTGTTGGATACCAACAATTTGGGGCGCTTCCTAAAAGATCGGCCAACGACCTTGTCAGCTGCGTAGTCCACGACATTAAAGAAGCAAGTACCCAGGGATGGGCGGCCACATTCACGACTCTGGATGTCCAAGGCGCGTTCGATGCAGTACTTCACAATCGTTTGGTGAGGAGGATGCAAGAGCAGGGGTGGCCTGACTCAATTCTCAGATGGACAACGTCATTTCTTGCACAACGAAAGGTGCAAGTACAATACTCAGGAGGGGTAACCGGACAAAGAGAGCTGGTGTGTGGGGTTCTGCAGGGGTCGCCCATATCGCCACTTCTCTTCCTCTTGTACATGGTAGAGCCTGTAACGGCTGGTAAGCCGATTGGTTCCTGTAGCGCATGTTGGCCAATATGAGCCTAGCCTGATATTGGTAGCGCACGATTGATCGACATCAATGTGTGGATATATGATGCCACTCAACAGAATATCAAGGCATCGGCATCTAGTTCGGCAGGGCAGCAGTATTGGACCATACAGCTACAACACATGTGAAGAATCCCATTGGAACCGAGATGGAGGGACTGTGCCTCAACCACATAGACAATATATATATAAGTATAGATAGAGACTCAAGTAGTTTTCTCTTCAGAATGATAATTTACATACTATCAACCACATAGTTGCACCAGCGCCTGTTCCTTGATCCGTGACAGAGCCTATGCGAAGCGGCAACGCAGAAATGAGGTCCAGCTACGCTGACGACGTCGGGATACTAGGATTCGGGCGCAGCATAGCCGAGTCAGCCGCTTCTATACAGAAGGAAGTGGACCATCTTCTGAGGTGGGCGAGTATCAACGCAGTCTCCTTCGATACTAATGAGTCGGAGGTAGTCCAGTTTCCCGGACGCAAACGCGAGGAGCCAGTGGGCAATTGTGTGAACGGCGTGGTTATCGAGCCAGCAGACCAAATACGCTGGCTAGGAATACACCTAGACCCGCGACTGGACTTCAAACATCACGTCACGATGTGGTGTGGCAAAGCTCTGAAGGTGGCCCAGCAAATGCGCCGCTTCAACTCAGCATATCGAGGAGCTGCTCCAGCAGCACTGGCTTGGGTAGTGGACACGTGCGTTGTCCCCGTAGAAACCTTTGGGGCAGATGTTTGGTGGCCCGGCCTCAAACGTCCGACCAAAAAGGAAATCATTACACCTCGGACTAGCATTTTCTGCGAGATGATCGATAAGGCAATCCTAACATGACTGCATGCTGCCCTCCCAGTAATGAGAACGACACCGAATCTTGCTCTTCACCGCGAAGGAGGTATCCCAACAGGAAATATCATTCTGGAAGGGAACCGACTACGGCTTTCGGCTCGGCTCCACTCACTAGACAACCGCCATCCGCTCCAGACTCGCACCACTATGTGTCCGAAAGATGGAACACGGAAGTACAAGAAATATTCTTGGGCGCCCAAGAATCCAGAGATCCACATGTCACAAGTACAGCGGGCTCACCGAGAACTCCCGGATGCGGAAAATGCCGAGCCTTTACCGCCGCCATGCTATCTCTCGGGCTTCGGCTCAAGGATAGAGGAAGAAGAGAAAGCAACTCGGTTCATTAATAGTGTGCCGGCATCAGATATTTGCGCCTACCCGGATGGATCGTCGGAGGGGAATGGTCGCTCAGCATGGGGGTTCGTCTTGAAGAGGGATGGAAAAACTATATTGAAGGGATGTGGCATCAAGCATGGTGGTGAAGTGCTTGATGCGGAAACACTAGGGGCGAGGAAGACCCTGGAAGCTGCGCTGGAATTGTCGGAGAGGGAGAACTGGGGAAGAGACGGTAGGCAGTAGATCAATGTACTGACAGATAGTCAGTCTACAGTGAAAGCACTGCTGACGGGAATTACCACAACAAGCCTCGATGACGTACGCCAATTTAGGGCGCTATCAAAAAAGGCTCTAGTCTCGGTGAAGTGGATACCGGCCCACTCCAGGATACAGGGAAACGAAGATGCAGACAGAGCTGCACGCTCCAGCCTCCGACAACTGCCAAGCAAAGACAGCCAGCCTGGCTCCGTCACAATGACGTACGTTCGTCGGCTCATGAACCGGAAACGTCAAGCGCTTTTCGACGACTGGTGGGAAGAAGTATGTCCACCCGGGTATCGAAATCTGGGTCTTCTCATGCAACGACGCAAGCCACGCGAGCAGACACTTTCCCGGCGGCTACTCCGTGAATTGATCTCAGCCCGTACGGGCCACGGAAACTTCGCGGCATGTCATCGCCGCTGCAACAACTTCGCCGCTTCAATGAAGTGTGCGTGTGGAGAGGAAACATCACCTCTCCACTTCATTCACTGTCGACTGCACGTACGCCAGACGCGTCGACTACGAGGGACAATGTCACATCACGACTTTATCCACAAGCTTGTCGGGCCTAAGTGCCTCAAGAACTTTACAAATTTTGCGCAGGAAACCGGCTGCTTCGGGGGCTCACCTACGGATCCGTCTCAAGCTCTCAGCGGAGACGGTGGTAATTAGTCATAGCACGATGCATGGCAGGTAGAAAAACGAGACGAGAAGTGTCGTTTTTCTAACCACAAACTGGATTACTGGGCTTGGAACTTTAGCTATGGGATTTTACGGGAGTTTCTATTTTTCTTTCTTTTAACTAGCTACTAGTGCTGTAGTGGTTCACGCGGTGAAACCGAGGTGGGCATGCGGAAAGCGTGATCTCGGCTGTGTACACCGGTCTTTGACTCCTAGGAGATATAGAGCATAGCTTAGGACCCTAAAATAATTCAATTCAATTCAACCAATGACTGGATTTGTTCAGGAAGAATGGGATTCAAGCAGACTCTATCGTTTAGTCCGATTGAATCAGAAGTGTGGAATCCTGCCTGACTTCAGAAATGTAGTTCAGGCAAGATGCATGCAACCACATTGGTCGATAGAAAGAAAAGCAGGAAACTATATTTCCAACACAATCACTACCAGGAAACTAGATTACGGTTGCAGCGCCATCAATGTCCTAATCGAAAATTCCGCGGCTATCCAGATGTTACTGACGGAAATAACAGTTTCCTTATCTTGGCGGTTCCAAAAATCCTGGGAAATGGCCGCAAGAGCAGTTGCACCCGTGAAAGTGCGATGGATGCTGGGGCACTCAGGGCTTTCAGGAAATGAATTGTCCAATGATCTAGCTCGAAGAGAGCCTAAATCGTTAGACAACGCCAGGAGGATACATATTGTGATGACCCTCGCCTCATCTGGGCGAAAATCTCGTGAACTGGCCAGGCCAATGTTGACGGACTGGTGGTACTTGAACCGCCCCAAATATTACGCCGAACTCAAACTTGGGATGTGGCGCAAGGAGCCACCATAACTGGCGCTTCCAAGAGAAGTAAACGCCCGCTTAATTACCGCTCGAACCGGACATGGGGAATTTGCAGCATGTAATCACCGCTTTAAGCACATAATAGGCACACTTCACTGCAAGTGTGGTAGGGAGACTCAACCGGTCACCTTGTCCAGTGTAGAAAATTACTGGCGGCATGACGACTGAATAGCGGAAGACGGAGGGTACTGGCGCTGGAAGTCCTGCTCGGATCAAGAGCATAGCAGCTGTCCAGGGACTACGTCCAGGAGAGCTGAGTTTACGTGGTGGCTAGTCGAGGCAACAGAGGGGTGGTAATGCCAGGCTTGTTGTGGGGCACGAGCTATTAGGCATAGCTTTATAAACTAAATCTTAAGTTGATTGGGCTCGCGCGTGTGGTGGCCGAGGTAGATGGATGAAAGGGAGCCGGTTTATATTTTTCTTTTGTAATGCGGGATTTCGCGTGAAAGTTTTCTTTTGTTTCCATTCTGGGCTGCTGGACTCTTCTTTTTAAATCATTTCATGTGTATGCTATTTGAAAGTATTTCTACTTGGTGTGCACTAAGTGCGTTGCATCTGTCCGTTGCTGAGTCATTGTCTTGATAACTCAGCTAATACAGCGAACTCTAGGTTCATAATGTTCTTAGATAGAGACACAAGACACAATATATACCTCACTTTTGTAGCTTTTATTTTACATTGAACGAACCTTACGTATACGTAAATTAAGGCTAACCGGCATGTGCAGCTATATAGCTATGACATATGACCGGTGCTATATATACATATTGGATAACTCTTTTAGCCTTAGAGACACTCATACTCTGGATTTCATTCGCAGATATCACTATGAAGTTTGCTTGTTGTCCTAAATTCAGAGACAAAAGAAACATATGTTTTCAGAGCATAGAGCCAAGAGCACTTCCAATATTAATTTGAACAAAGAAAGGAAAGGTAGCTCTTCTTCAATATTTGGACACATCCAAGTGCATGGTAGCAGACAAAGGATATTAAAATAGGAAACACCGATTGGAAATTAACAAGAAATTGAGTAAATTATATGTAAGGAAGGAGTTTGGCAGATATAAATTATGGAAATAATGTGACATAGCTAGGTTACTGGATACACTATGAATAAAAAAAGAAATATGCTTGCTTGCTTTCATAAACAGTTGACAATCCTCCGTAAGTACCCACCAAAGAGAAACTAAAAGTCTTTGATTATCCAAGAATGCCTTCGTCAGCCACGTACACTAGCGCCGCGAGAAACGTACTTGTATTTTGCCGGATACGAACCGGAAATCTCCTGTCTAGAGTGGGATGTGCGTCTTGGCTATCCAGAATCTACTCTGGAGACCATCCAAGACGATGTACCACCGCGCCATCCAACCATGGCGGTGTTCAAAGTGTCGCCTGCACCATGACAATCGATGTCTTGGTATGCATTAAGCTCAATTTATAAATCTTCTCGCAGATTTTCAAAGTTTTACACCCGCCAGGTTTGTAACCATCATCTGCATCATCCTCTAAACATTTCCTATGGCAAAGGCATGTTTGGGTAGCCATAGGTTTTTCCTACTTTCCCTTTTGTGGGTATCAACGGTTGAGGGAAGGGCGAAAGTCCCTAGCACCAAGATCTCGAGTGGTATCAGCGAATGCACCCACTACATGAGTAGTCCAGATATCAAACTGGGTTATCGTCATATATAGTCGTCGGAATAGCTAGCCTTCTCCGTTTCATGCTCTTTGAGTACAGGGCTTGTGCCCGTCACGAATAAACCTTCATTCTAAACATTTCCTGACCTCTCCCACGTCTATCGCAAAGATCTGTCTCCCAGATTTATGCGTCACGCTTTGTTACCTCCGTCAAGTGTTAACATCGACGCGGGCATGTAATTGATGACGATCTGAGGCTAGAGGAAGTGGAAGAGAGATGTGGTCACTGGATTGAGGATGTATTGAGATGTACTTGCAAACTTGATGAGGCTTTGGTGGAGATCGATCTCGTTAAGAGGGAGAAATTGATGAAGTGGAGAGTCTCGGATCATTGTCTCGTGGATCAACCTGTTCGGTGTTGCGAAATTTGACTGAACTTGGCTCTGGGAGAACATTTCACTCTCAGGTTCGCAGAAGCCAGCGCGTACAGGTGTTCAGTCTTGCCCTCTGGACGCTGGGCTCGTCACAATTCAACCCATAGATTGGAATTAGCATAGTTCCGGTCACTTAGGTGGGACAAGGCACTTGTACTTTACGGTAGTTAACCTAATCCAGCCCAGCCCCACTCATGCTTAAGGTCCAGTAGGAGTGCGATGGGTATCATGTACTTAGCACATTAATGAACAAACAAATATCAGGACCTCTAAATGAGCTACAAAAGACCACCGGAACTGGCTACACCAAGATGGGCGTACTATCATCTTGTTGCGGCAAGAACAGACCACGGGGACTGCGCCGATTACCACCTGCGTTTCAACCCTGAATATGAAAACTTGAAGTACATTTGTGGCCGAGAGAAAAGGCCCTGGCATTCTTCAGAGTGCTGACCTGCTTTGCGACGTTGAAGAAGCTGTGAGAAAATGGCCCCACCGGTGGCCAGGAAAACGATAGGGGAGAAGGGATGGCAGAAGTTTTTCCAATTCCAACTAGAAGCAGATGTTACAATCTGCCGAAGAATTGACAGGGTTGGAGGTGTTCATACTTATACTGTTTTCAACTCAAGAGGAGATGTGTTTGGAAGAAAGAGATGCGGCTCAGGGTACCGTAACAAAGACATTATCCTACGGGCATTTGGTCGATTAGAAACGATACAGAGAAGATTGGCATAGCTCCTGCACTAAGGATGACACGCTCAATCAAAGAGAAGCAACCAATTTTTAAAAAGGAGGGCAAGACTGAACACCTGTACGCGATGCACTCTGCGAACCTGGGACTGAAATGTTATCCCAGAGCCAAGTTCAGTCAAATTTCGCAGTACTCAAAAAGTTGGCCCATGAGGCAACGATTCAAATTACTCCACCATGTCAAATTTTCGCTCTCAACGAGTTTGACTCCTACCTAAGTCTCATCAAGCCTACAAGTACGACCAAGTATATCCTCATTCCAATGACCACACCTGCCGTCGACTTTCTCTGGCCTCAGCTGGCTATCAAATACACGCCCACACCGATATTTATACCCGACGGAAAAAGCAAGGTGTGGCGCACAAATCTGAGTGACAGTTCTTTGGATGGACGTGAAAGGGAGCAGGACAAGTTGACAAGATGATGCGAAGGAAGGACACAATCTCGAAGAGGTGGGAAATTCCGAATTTAGCTAGGGGTTTTTACAAATTCAGCTTCGTCCGCGCCAAGGCTTCGCTTGCGAGAGTGCAGCTGACACTATAAAAACAAGCCGAAGATGGTAGGTGCTATGGTCTGCCTCCAGGTGGTGTTCTCCGGTATAGTTTGAGTAGCCTGGGTACCTACTCCACTTGGGAAGGAGACATCTCAGATCACATTTTGCGGGGAGAAAAGTAAATGGATGAAGGAGGCATCTCTGGATAACTCAGGGTTTTTGAGACGTTCCCCTGGGTGGGTATTCACGTATGAGGGATGACTTGGGATGAAAAAAAAAAGCCATAACTTCGCAGTGGTACTTGCAAATGAAATCTGAGGCATGGGTGCTCTTCCCTTACGTTGAATCATCTATTCTGTACTTTTCTTTGATATTTTGTCGTAGCTAGATAGCTGCATACGCAATTAAAATCTGATGCAAAAAAATAGACATTTACTGTGCTTTTATTTATTTATTTTGTCGCTTTTGGCTTTACTATCGATCATGTAAGAGGCAATGAGATTTTAGGGCCCATCTACCCATGTCACGTCTAAAAAAGATGTTGGGTACGTCTTGTAACGATAAAGATTTCAAATTCAAATTTAAATTCAAAGAGACAATTTACTTGAAAATTCGATATTTGCTTTTCTTCAAGGTAAATAGATCTTTTACTCTGCCGTTGTGGGCTTTTGCTTGCCCTGCGGCAGGTGACATATATTGTGATATGATAAGAGCTTGTCTGACTGTTGTGGTTGCGTTTGATACTGCAATATCTTTGCTCTTTGCTCTTTGCCAACTACGTTTTAGTCGTTAAATATATCGGAAGCGTATCTTTGGAAGAGAAAGAGATAAGTCAGCTCAGAGTTGAAAAGTTATGATTCGATCTCAGCTCTGCAGGCTTTACAGTGAGATCTGGAAGAGCGTAGGGGCCATTACTGACAGGTTTTGAGTTTTCGTACCCCTTATGTATTTCACCAGACGGACAGCACACGATTAAGTCTAACTTAACTCTTATGGCTTTTGTTTCGCAGATTTTAAAAGGAACGTATTTTTGGTACAGAATTTCAACTTGTGTCTTGACCTTAAAATTGTACATAACTATCTTGAAAACACACAAGTATCTATGCCTTGACATGAATCTTCTCCGATATTCTTAGCATCGCTGAAGTACTCCTCACTGCTGTACCAATGGTCAGGCATCGCGAATAGTATCAAGTGACACGCAAAGTTGGAATATTAGACGGTTTTCGAAGTATAAATACAGAATACCGATTGTAGATTTTATGACTCGTAATTCATAGTCAGTAGCATGACATTGCGATCCATTTTGATTTTCGATCCCAACAAAGCTCTCTGGATATGGGTATGAGCCATTCTACTATTACAGCTACCCGTGTAGACCGAGTATTGTTGAAAAACATGTTTGTGATTGGATAAAGATCACGAATTTCACAGTTTAAAAAGACAGTCTTGGATTATTTGAATTTAACTGATGACTGAGCCAGTGAAGTGGTTGGTTACACTAGTTCATTTGTAAAATCCATTGGGCTTGCCGCGTTGTCCTTGAATATCAATGTCGATATCATCATCTGCCTCACCTAATGGCGCTTCTTCGAGGGCCTTAACGTTAGATTTCGTGATCTTGTCATCATTCTGATCCAGCAACTTTCGAGCTGCATCGATTTCAGCTTTCTTGTCCTGCACCTCTTTTATCTTCCCAAGATATGCTGGATTCTTTCGGCATGCGAATTTTATATCTTCTAACTTGATCTTTTGCCGCCCAGAAATGAATGCTGATCGATGCGCCTCGAAGCAAAGTTCAGTGATAAAGTCGGTGAGAAGTTCGTCCAAAATACGCTTGGTAGGTTCAAGCGACTGAGCAACATCGCCATGTCCAAAGAGAAACTGTTGTACTATATCGAATTAAATTGATATGAACTTGAGCAGTGACATACTGCGCTCACATTCTAGATCAGAAAAGCTTTGTTGCCCTCTATTTTTACCCACTCGCGCTCTTGGTTCCATGTTATTTAGTTGGAGGTACTGAATGATCGATACCAATATTGGTCACCTAGCTCTTGAATGCAGCCGTCATCGGTCGATGGGCGGGTGAACTTGCTCTAAGTGACTTGTGTTGAGGCGAATGTGGTTTGGAAGCTAAGCCGATAGAGGCCTGTTGACAACACGTCAGACACATACGTCCAGAATTAAAACTGTCGGCCCGGCTACAGCTCCGTCGCAAAGCAGCCCGCCGAGTAATCTCCACAGTTTCGTAAGGGCGATAAGGGTTACTTTGACCAGAATTGAAAATGGTTTGTTCCTTTCCGGATTACGGATAATACAGAATGAATCGGGATTAACTGACGAACAGTCGGCGCTATTCAACTTCCAGTCCGCACTTCTTGTGCTCCTACTCATAATTTGCACCAGCGCATACTGTCATCAGCTTTTTCCGTCATTTATGGACAGGAATAAGACTTCGTACGAGCTACAATTACTTAGACTTGAACTTCATTGACACATTCTTAGCCCTATATGGGGATCTTTCTGGAAAGCTGCGCGCGTTGGTGAGCGACTAAGCCCCTACATTAGTGTGTGTTGCTTGATATTTGCCGTGCGTATCCCACTATTATCAATAAAAATACAAAGAATAACCAGAATAGGTACGAATGTTCATTGGTACTTAGAGTTCCCAGCACAGTAAACCCTTTATATTCTCCATAGCATCAATGGTACAAAAGGTCGTCACTATAAATCCAAGCCAAAAATAGCCGTCTGAAGGCATAAATGAATCGGGTACCTTAAGCCACACAATGTTCTTCAACCTGATTTGATCAAGATAAAGAACGTGAATGGAACTGTAATCTAGCCAGGCATTGCTTCAAATGTACATTTCCCCGAGCAGCAGGCTTTTATTTGAGAAACCTTACAATACGAGTACTTTTCAATATAAACCTACGTAACAAATTGCGAAGTGAGCTATGTATCATCATTTTATTGGTAGCTATGATTCTTGGGTATCCGTGACCTCAGCACCCCCTTTTTCCATATCTCCCCATATTACTTTATTCTCTCGCTCCATAGCTCTCATAGCATTGGCCACTTCCTCAAGTTTCATGACCACGTCAATGACATCGTCGTTAACTTTTTTAAAGTATCTATCATTAGCTTCTCTCCTCTTCCGTGCTGATGATATGTCTATCTCAAGCTCGTGTTCTGTGGCTACATCTCCGTCCACTCCAGTTAGTCCTTCCGAGCTCAGGGGTCTTGCGGCGCTCCCGCTTGTTGCAGCTGTCGTAGCTGTTCTTCCATCGCTACCAATGTTTCCTCCCTTACCAGAATACGGACGACTCCTATGATCAACGCTTTCAATAACTTCATCAGCCTCGCTTCTCGCCCATGCCCGTGCCAGTTCTATCTGGGCATTTCGCAGGCCCTCAAGCGCCAATTCATGTTCTCGTCCAAACATTTGTTGACCCTGTTCGGCACTAGTCTCTACTGCTTTAAGTACGCTCTGCATATCCATCCATTGCTCGTGAGATTTCTGTGCTGCGCTGGCTGGGATCCTAACTCGATCTGTAACAGAGGCGGCGGCTTCTACTCCCTTAATGTCGCCACGGAATCGTCCAAGAGGTTCTCGCCCAAGTTTAACCCGCCCATTTTCTTGCCCGTCATTACGAGAATGGGTCGACATAAAAGATGAAGTCGCTCCAAATAGAGGGGGAGGGGTCGTCATAGCAACGCCAGATAGTGAAATAACACTTCCATTAATGGATGAGGTTCCTAGACGTGGGTGTTTGTTGGGCAAGTCTCTCTTTTTTTCTTTAATCGCCGGTGAGGATGTCATCTTGGACGGTAATGATGTATGTACAAGTTCAACATTGCATCTTGAATACTCCAGAGCCCGATCCAGCCTTTGGGAAGGCTGAATCACGTGAATTTAATCACGAGGAAGTTCGCTTAAACATGACGCACACGCAAAATTATCACTCCTTGGTCAGTAAGGGAGTGGTCGATGCAACAATTAATACTTCGCCAACCATCGTGATCATTTCATACTAAAAGTAGGTGTTGTTGCGATTATTTTGAGATCGCAGCCACTTTTTTCGGCAATCTTTCAGGCACCATGTCTACATTCCACGCCTCCCTTCATCCGACTTTATCCGACTTCATTGACCCTTTCTCATTATTTCCAAGCAATTACTCCAGCCTCTAGCATACCCGTCTTATGCAGACTAGCGCTACCGGCGATACCTCAGCTCTAACTTTGTCCTAGGAATTAAGATGGGAAAAGGAAAGCCCCGTGGATTATTAGGCAGGTCGCAACAAAGAGAGTCGACGAAATCCGCTGACTGACCGTGATAGCGGCTCGAAAGCTCCAAACCCATCGCCGGGATCAACGATGGGCCGATCTCTCGTACAAGAAGCGCGCGCTTGGAACGGCGTTCAAATCATCGCCATTCGGAGGATCATCTCACGCTAAGGGCATTGTGCTTGAAAAGGTCGGAGTCGAGGCCAAGCAGCCAAACTCGGCCATTCGCAAGTGTGTTCGGGTCCAATTGATCAAGAACGGAAAGAAAGTGACGGCTTTCGGTATGTACCTATGTCTCACACTCACCCCAAATTCCTCAGCCCATATGACAAGGAATATTTAAGGAATAGATGAACATTTTCTGGTAGCAGGACGAGCTGATAGCAAGAATGATGGAGAGGAATAAAAATAAAGATGTGGGAATAGGAAGAGGAAGCTGATTGAATAGGGGCGAAGTAAGAAGAAAAAGTGAAGATCACGACTAACAATGAACATAGTGCCTAACGACGGTTGTCTCAACTTTGTTGATGAAAACGACGAGGTACTACTGGCAGGATTTGGACGAAAGGGAAAGGCCAAGGGAGATATTCCTGGAGTGCGGTTCAAGGTAGTGAAGGTATCAGGTGTGGGACTATCTGCTCTATGGAAAGAGAAGAAGGAAAAGCCTAGATCATAAGCGAGCAAAAAATCTTAAATTAAGTTACGAAATCAATCCAGGACAATGCTTACATGTGCACAATTATACCTCAAGCGTCAAGAAAATATGGAATGCTATTCCAGGACCATTGGATTTTTTACGGAAGGTTTTGTTTGTACAAACTCTCACGTGTATGGTATATCCAACCGCTATAAAGAGATTGATAGAGCAACAAGTTTACAAGCCTCACTGTTTAGTATCTAGTGGGAAATATGAGCTGGCGACCATGAATATTATACAAGGCATGAATTCTAAATTTCTTGCTAGCTGCTCTAGACGCTCAAGTGTAGCTTGTAAGGTTGAGCAAGACTCCTAACATTATATAAGGAACAATTAATCTTCATCAAAATATACAAAAAAAATAATAAAGATTGGTAATCGATCACCAGTATGCTCCAAAAATTAGGGCTGTAAATGTTAAATAAGAATTAAGTATAGTCAAATATCGCAATGTCAAAAGAATGGCCTCAGGTGATAATGATTCAAGCGCCTTCAGTACAACAATTTATCACTTCAAGTACGATGCTTCCCGATTAGAGCCTTACTTCTCGTCAATTACGAACTAGCGCATCATTATTTTAATGAATACATGCTGATCAGCTCAGCTATAAGCCTCATATGAGGGGTGAAATCTCCACTCCTGTCAGAGATGCCCTCAACGTATTTCCATCATTCAGCATAGAGTCTACAGAGTTGAAATCGAATGATAACCAAGTCCTTGCTTTCATAAGTATTCACAATCGCTTTCGCGATAATATATTCGGGTCGAAGCCCTACCCATCACCCACTCTTGGTCATGGAGTAGGAGCCATCCGATGAGTTCCTGGAGTGTGCTCAGAAACTGACATGGCGATTGCGAATTGAATCATGTTGACCTCTTGTGTTGCAAAGAATCGATACAAAGATAGATATGCGCTCCTCGTTTGGCTCCGGTGTCTAGGTTTCGTCTAGCCTGGGCTGCAGCCTTTCTGATACTTTTTCCCGCGCACGTTGCTTCCATTTATACCATTTTCTTTTTTTGGGTAGGAGGTTGCGTAGAATCAGCGCCTGAACTCTACGAGTAGATAGCGAGCTGAATGGCTCTCTCACAGGCAATATGGTCGAGACCTCTAGAGTAAAAAATGAGGATATGAGCACTGTACGATTGGTGGCCTGAATCAGAAAGGAGCCCAACATGCAAGACAGTTCGTGACTGAATTTATACAATGATTCAACCAAACACTCACTTGGGCTTCAACTGGCCTCCCAGTGAATCCTTACGAAAATCTAAATATTCGTTGGATAATTAAAACTGTAGTTCTCGTATCCGGTGAAGTAGATAATTTTAATGGACATTATAATGTCCCGGTATAGGTAAGAAAAATGATGCTAAGGATGAATAGAAACCCAAATAAGCCATGTTCTTTTTTTTTCTAAATATCATATTGTATTCAGCTATCTAGCTATGACAAGATAAGCCATGTTCGAGTTTTTGGAATGAGGTCGTTAACAATCAAGGGTAATGTAGGCGCCACAACGTCTTGCGTGAGTAGGACAAAGACAGAAATCCTGTACGCGGTGTCCTCTACGAACCTGGGACTGAAATGTTATCCCAGAGCCAAGTTCAGTCAAAATTCGCAGCACTCAAGAAGTTGGCCCATGAGGTAACGATTCAAATTACTCCACCATGTCAAATTTTCGCTCTCAACGAGTTTGACTCCTACCTAAGTCTCATTAAGCCTACAAGTACGACCAAGTATATCCTCATTCCAATGACCACACCTGCCGTCGACTTTCTCTGGCCTCAGCTGGCTATCAAATACACGCCCACACCGATATTTATACCCCACGGAGGAAGCAAAGCGTGGCTAACAGACCCGGGAGGCAGTTTCTTGCGATGGGGGTGAGAGAAATCTGGACAAGAATAAGATGTAAAGGCAGATTTTAATAACGATGGGTGAAATTTTGAATCTTGGCAAGAAATGTTACATATTGAGCTTTTTGCGCGGCAAGACTCCGATGGCGAGAGTACTGCTGACATTATAAATACAAGCCAAGGGTGGATGAAGGAGGCATCTCTGGAGAGCTCAGGGTTTTTGAGACGTTTCCCTGAGTGGGTAATCACGGATGAGGGTTGACTTGGGGCGAAGAAAAAGCCGCCATAACTTCGTCGTGGTGCTTGCAAATGAAATCCGAGGCATGAGTGCTCTTCCTTTACATTGATTCATCTATTCTGTACTCTTCTATGGTATTGCGTCATGGCTAGGTAGCTGCATACACAAATAAAACCTAATGCAAGAAGAAATATTACTTCTTGAATAGGCTCAAAATTCTTTCAACTACGCACTCCCATCTCTACAGTCTGTTGCGTTGGTTGATTTTTTTATGAATGACATTGACAACTCGATCAAAACCTGAGGTTTTTGACATCGCCACCGATATTTTCTGTGGCAAACAACACACACTTTAGAACTTATATTGCTATTTGGGGCAAGTGGACGTAGTGACATTTGTACGGGTGAGATAGAATTGCTGTGTCAAAGGGGTTTATTTTGCATCAGGTTTTATTTGTGTATGCAGCTACCTAGCCATGACGCAATACCATAGAAGAGTACAGAATAGATGAATCAATGTAAAGGAAGAGCACTCATGCCTCGGATTTCATTTGCAAGCACCACGACGAAGTTATGGCGGCTTTTTCTTCGCCCCAAGTCAACCCTCATCCGTGATTACCCACTCAGGGAAACGTCTCAAAAACCCTGAGCTCTCCAGAGATGCCTCCTTCATCCACCCTTGGCTTGTATTTATAATGTCAGCAGTACTCTCGCCATCGGAGTCTTGCCGCGCAAAAAGCTCAATATGTAACATTTCTTGCCAAGATTCAAAATTTCACCCATCGTTATTAAAATCTGCCTTTACATCTTATTCTTGTCCAGATTTCTCTCACCCCCATCGCAAGAAACTGCCTCCCGGGTCTGTTAGCCACGCTTTGCTTCCTCCGTGGGGTATAAATATCGGTGTGGGCGTGTATTTGATAGCCAGCTGAGGCCAGAGAAAGTCGACGGCAGGTGTGGTCATTGGAATGAGGATATACTTGGTCGTACTTGTAGGCTTGATGAGACTTAGGTAGGAGTCAAACTCGTTGAGAGCGAAAATTTGACATGGTGGAGTAATTTGAATCGTTACCTCATGGGCCAACTTCTTGAGTGCTGCGAATTTTGACTGAACTTGGCTCTGGGATAACATTTCAGTCCCAGGTTCGTAGAGGATACCGCGCATAGGTGTTAGGCCCTGCCCTCCTGTCAAGGAGTTATTCTCACTAGAATCAGAGTGTCAAATCCACGTTCCACGTAGAAACAGGAAAAGTCTAGCCGAAACTCCGGAGGGCAAGACTCGCATAGTTTGACTGCTGGCATACTGTCATTTTTGAAGATGAGTATGGAGAAAAATTTTTAGATATGAAGTTGAGGTTTCGAGGTTGGAGGGAGTTTTGAGAGAATGTGCTGGCAAAATTTCAAACTTCAATTACACATGAATTTTCAACTGTGCACATTGAAGAACAATTGACTGGAAGACTGAAACTCAACACCGTTCTATGTTATCCTCTAGGATAATAGTAAACAGAAACCCTCCTAGCGTCAAGTTCATTCAAATTTCGCAATACCGAAGAAGTTAGTCCAAGAGGCAATGATTCAAGAATATCCACCAGATCGACCTTTCACTTCCAACGAGATCTATTTCATTGAGGCCTCATCTAAAATATGAAAATCATCTATTACATTCCTGTTTAAATATATGCACATTACAAAGAATCAATTCTCGCCTCTATTCACTACTAGATGCATGCCCACACAGATTTCTAGACGAAGTGCGAAACAAATCGTGGCGCACAAATCTGGGGGATAGATTTTCGGGTTAAAAGTAAGAGAAATTAGAACAAAAAATCAAGATGATGCTAGGGATGAATACAATATTGTCAGGTGTAAAAGCCTGATTCTTGTAGAGGAGTTTTTTTAAAATGAGCTTTGTGCGCCATACAATATGAGTTTCAGTGGAGCAGGCGACGCTACAAACACCTTCGCGGTGAAGTGGTGCGGTGATACATCATTTAGGTCAGTCTCCATAGCAAGGTCAATTTGTCCTCACTATCTATCCCACTAGAGACAGAAGGTCACTGGCTCGAATCCAGCATCATTATATAGCGTTTGTCGCGGCGCAAGTGTATATGAATGCCAAAGGCACGCTTGGAATATTAGAGGTTTTTGAAATCCCCCTTTGGTGGATACTTTCGGCTGAGTGTCAGCTGTTCTGTGTACGCAAACGTACCTCGGATTAGTATCTACAAATGAAATCTAATGAATGAGCGTCTCTGAACGTAAAAACTTCATCCTACATGTATAACAGCATCGATCATGTGTTATAGCTATTTAGCTTCTAACCGTTAAATGATCTAAAAAATAGCAGACTTTCATGGGAAACCAGATTAATTGAGGCCAAGTGGACTGTGAGGCGGATCTCATAAACGCTAGGGATTTCATGTGAGGTTAGATTGCTCTTCCTTGGTTTTAAGCTACAAATGTCGTGTGACTGATCCCTTCCCGCGAGCGTAAGACATAAATATCAAGGCGGGCTTGTCTCCCTGCGTCTGCCATTTTATTTCCACCTCGCTACCACCTTGCTGCCGCACAGCATCAGGCGATTATTGAATAATAATTAATGTGCAAGCGTTGTGCACTAGTAGCTCGCTTGCGCACACATTTTTTTTGCATCTCAGACTTGACGGTATACCATAACACTATTCAAGCTAAAAATTACGTTGTATTGCCAAAACTCAATCCATATCGGAATTAGTCCGGTATCGAATTGATGCTGAAACACGAGTATAGATCACCTGAAAAGATACGGAAATTGTTATTGAAAAGGAGTTGAGCACAATCAAAGATATCATATCATCGGTCTGATACAGCTGATTTTAATCTACCGAATAGGCTGAATCGATAATGTTATTTCAGGCCTTTCTGTCCGTTCAATTATTTATCTCCAGGGAAGACTTGTGATTTGGTCTACGATCTTGCCATTGGAAAATTCAGATGGGATGCAGATTGCTAGATATCAAGAAAAACTCAACGTAAAAGATGGAGTTTCGACCACAAATAATCAACTATGATGTAAAAAGACTCATCATCTTAATCTACAGTGAAAGTAATGGCTTTGGGAGGGTATGAGACAAACAACCAAGGATAAGTTTTTGGCTTCAAAATAGAAACAATTGCATGCCACAGATTTTGCGGGGCAAGTTTGTTGCCCGGCCAAGTGAGCTGTTTATAAGGCATATGAATAACTTTTGAAAACGTCATGTCCGCGTGTAGATTCTCAGTCTCAAGATTACTACGTTGCCCTTGGAATCCATTGTTTAAGCTTCTATAAAGCAGCCAATCATCACATGTGTATGCGCTCCCACCGCACACTTGACTTCTTTTGACAACAGGTAGTGCTGAATACCGATTTTCACTAGATATACGCGTCTAACACTGTATTTGTTCAAAATGCCGCCGGAGTTACGAAAACGCAAAGTATCTACGGTTGAGACTCCGACGGCCGCAACTGTAAAGAAATCTAAGCAGATAAAGACTTTAAGAGGTATCACTGAGTCAAAGATAGTCCCTAAGGTAACCAAGACCAAACCCAAATCTCCTTCAGAAGCGCCCATCAAGAAAGCAGCAGGTGCAAATCTGAAGTCGGCGAATTCTAAAGTTAAGGTAGGCGAGACTCTATCGCTCGATGGCTTTGGCGGAGAAATTGAGACGAACGAGGGGGTGACGACAACTCTGCAAGAATTGGTTGATGAAAGTACGGCTGGCGTTGTTCTCTTTACCTACCCAAAGGCATCTACACCTGGTTGTAAGTTCTATCATATGGCCTATCCTTCAGTCTTTTAGCTTCTGACTTCTCTAAGGCACAACTCAGGCGTGTCTTTTTCGAGACCAATATAAATCCTTAACTGCCAGCGGCTTCTCTATTTACGGTCTTTCTAAAGATTCACCTAAGTCGAACTCGAATTTTAAGACCAAACAGAAGCTGCCATATCCTTTGCTTTGTGACCCAAATGCATCTTTAATTACGGCTATTGGTTTACGAAAACCACCCTCGGGTACTACGCGTGGCGTCTTCGTTATAGATAAAACTGGTAAGGTATTGGCTACTGAGCCAGGTGGTCCTGCCGCTACTGTAGAAGTAGCAAAAAGAATCATTGAGCAAGGTACCAGCGAACGGCTATCAGCAAGTGACGAGGAAGATGAATCCGAGTAGCCTACACCTAAAAAGACCTTATACTTTTTCTGGACAAGGTCCACACCGGAGGCAGAAAACTTGAAATCACACAATCAATATCAAATCGTCTTCTATTTCCAATCAGTATACACACAGCATTCGGCCGTTGGAGATAGCCGGACCCTAGCTCAAGAGTTAGAGAGCTACCGTTCCAGTTCATGTTTCCTTTATGTATAGTCTAATGATATGCACGAAAAACATGAGCAACTACTAAGTGATCATGCTTCTCTGGCATAACTGATTAAATACTACTTCGTGCCATAGATAGACATGCTAGATAAATTTTATATACACACAAGGTTAGCACAAGTAGTTTTTCGTACCGAGTATACTCAATATTCTTGAGATTTCAGTGAACTAATTTCCGAGCGCGCTCTGTAAAATCCGAGGCTGAAGGAGGACATAAAGTATTGTTGTGCTCTGTGCCTAAGCCCGCTATACACATATGCTAGCCACGTTGCAGCGAAAGGAAAACTCCCGAACTGAAACTTATCCCAAAGAGAATATTTCTTCAGGGTTGAGAGTGCACGCTGTGAACTTCTAGACATGCCGAGATTGACACCATTAGAATAACTCTTTACCCAACACTTGATTGAGTTTTAGCCATCTAAGTTAACAAAGTGAACAATCACACCTAGACTGACGTAGACTAGATATGCGAGATTAACCTGGGACATGTGAGTTGTAGAAGGAAGTATCGAGCGCTGAAATGTGCGCCATTAATAGTCAACAACTTGAAAGTATCATGAAAAAACTTTGAGGTCAACAGATAAATAACAACACAGGCCAAAGATACTCCTGAAAGTACAAGGAACAGAAGCCTTAGACCTACTAAATATTCAGTAGCTACCGACCTGGCTTTTTTTTTTGCATCAGATTTTAATTGCGTATGCAGTTATCTAGCTATGACACAATATCGGAGAAAAGGTACAGAATAGATGACTCAATTTACAAGAAGAGCACTGATGCCTCAGATTTCATTTGCAAGTACCACTGCGAAGTTATGGTGGCTTTTTCTTCACCCCAAGTCAACCCTCATCCGTGAATACCCACTCAGGGGAACGTCTCAAAAACCCTCAGTTACCCAGACCTGCCTCCGTCATCCATCAACTTTTCTCCGCGCGAAATGTAATCTGAGGTGTCTCCTTCCCAAGTGAAGTAGGTGCTCAGGCTACTCAAACCATACCAGGGAACACCACCAGGTGACGGATTACACACCTTCTATCGTTTGCTTGTTTTTATAGTGTCAGCTGCACTCTCGCAAGCGAAGTCTTGGCGCGCACAAAGCCCATTCGAAAAACTCCTCGCCAAAATTCGGAATCTCATGCCCTTCGAGGTTATATCCGTCCTTCGCATCATCTTGTCAACTTGTCCAGATCCCTCTCACATCCATCCCAAAGAACTGTTTCCCAGATTTGTGCGCCACGCTTTCCTTCCTCCGTCGGGTATAAATATCGGCGTGGGCGTGTATTTAGTGACCGGCTGAGGCCAGAGAAAGTCAATGAGAGGTGTGGTCATTGAAACGAGGATGTACTAGGTCGTACTTGTAGACTTTATGAAGCTTAGTTGAGAATCGGACTCTCTGGGAGTGAAAGATTGACATGGTGGAGTAATTCAAATTTTTGCCTCGTGGGCCAACTTCTTTGATATTGCGAAATTTGACTGAACTTAGCTCTGGGAGAACATTTCACTTTCAGGTTAGTGGAGGACACCGCGTACAGGTGTTCAGTCTGACCTGGCTTTTATATGGTCCAATTGTGAGCTAATCACTGCGGTATATTCAAAGTATTACTCATTACACCAAGAGAGCTTACCCTTTTGTCCAACATCATCTCTGAGGCTAGACAAGTCTATCGATTTAATAACTATTACATAGATTCGGACATTCCGGAGATCTCCTCAACTCCAGAATTGACCTGAAATGGAGCCTTGCATCTAATCTAATTGGGAAAAGTGGCTGTGATTTCAACTAGTGCCATCAATCGGTCTCTAGCGAACAAACCGAGAGTTAGGCCTAGCTGGCGACCGACAGTTCTCCTTGTGCATCAACCGTCTTGGTACAAACAACAACCATGTCCGGCCAGCACAGACGAATTCTTCACCTTCAAGTGGTGCCAGTGTAATCACTTGGTATACCCTACATGCCTGAGATATTCAAGGAGAATCGCAACCGAATCAGAGACGAAAGACAGCACAGACATATCTCTATTTGGCGTCTTCAGAGGGCAAGACTGAACACCTGTACGCGCTGGCTTCTGCGAACCTGAGAGTGAAATGTTCTCCCAGAGCCAAGTTCAGTCAAATTTCGCAACACCGAACAGGTTGATCCACGAGACAATGATCCGAGACTTTCCACTTCATCAATTTCTCCCTCTTAACGAGATCGATCTCCACCAAAGCCTCATCAAGTTTGCAAGTACATCTCAATACATCGTCTATCCGGTGACCACATCTCTCTTCCACTTCCTCTCGCCTCAGCTCGGTATCAAATACACGCCCACGTCGATGTTAACATTCGACGGAGGTAACAAAGCGTGGCGCACAAATCTGGGAGACAGTTCTTTGGGATGGATGTGAGAGGGACCAGGGAATGTTTAAAAGATGATGCAGATGATGGTTACAAACTTGGCGGATGTGAAACCTTGAAAATTTGCGAGAAGATTTGTAAATTGAGCTTTATGCGTACCAAGACATCGATTGCGATGGTGCAGGCGACACTATGAACACCGCTATGGTTGGATGGCGCGGTGGTACATCGTCTTGGATGGTCTCCAAAGTACATTCTGGATAGCTTGGACACATAGCCCACTTGAGACAGGAGATTGCCGGTTCGAATTCGGCAAAACACTGTTATAATTTGGGAAGTAGAATAGAATAGAATAGAATTAAATTAAAGTCCCTACTGAGTCTATGACTATGAAGGTCTGCTGAAAATAAACAATAAACCACCAAAATTAACTTGAATTTATACATGCTGTTTTTTCAATCTTTTCCAATAGACAATGAGGGCTTTACCCTGAAATCAGGGAAGCAACGTGACTGCATTACAATAAACTGTTCACATAAGAATAATGCGCACATGCGCATGAGATATGATTGACTTAGATCATCAATCATTGGTATGACATAGTATTTCCCAATAGATTCCTAATGTTATCTATCGGCGCAAGGATCTCTTACATTCTTCCTTTCTTGGTTAGACAAGGAAATATGTTGGAACATCCAATAGTGTGAAGAAACCCTCTCACTTATGCATATAGAGAAAGGTTCTGCTACGTAGATAATATAAACAATTCGTACAATAGGAAATTTAGACAATCTCCAAATTATTCACAAACTTTTAAATACCCGGGAATATCCTCAAGTTCTTCCATTGATCCAAGTCCCAAGGGCATAAGTAACGAACTTCAATTCTCTTAAAGCCATAGTTACTTCCTTCCATACCTTCATCCTAACGATACGTCATTCTAGCTCAGCATAGCCTTTCAATAAACACAACCACATTTCTCGCGAGGCTAGTGTAGACAGATGACGAAGCTATTCTTGGATAATCAAAGATATTGAAATTTCCCTTTGATGGTGTAAGGGTTTAATGAATTCAGATGTACTTGAAAGACAATAAATCGATTGGAATTAACAACTTCTTCCTTGGGAAGATAATTTACCACGTACTCTCGCATCCCTTATATGCTCTGTCACAGCCTAACTTCGAAGACGGGGTGGTCTTAGTGATCAGTCTTAATGCGGCCAAAGCCCGTCACAGGTGGGTACGCTCTGGAAACTCATCGGATGGCTTTTCCTCCATGATCAAGAGTTGGTGATGAGTAGGGCTCCGACCCTACAATCTGATCTGATCTTGAGAGTGCAGGCGACACTTTAAACACCGCCATGGTTGGATGGTGCGGTGGTACATCGTCTTGGCCGGTCTGCCAAGTAGAGTCTGGATAGCTTGGACACATATCCCACTTGAGAGAGGAGATTGCTGGTTCGAATCCGGCAAAACACAACCATATTTCTCGCAGCGCTGGTATGCATGGATGACAAAGGCATGCTTGGATAACCAAAGGTTTTGAAACGTCCCTATGATGGGTACTTACGGAGGAGGGTCGACACTTTGTGTAAGCAAGCATACCTCGTCGTGATATTTGCAAATGAAATCCAGAATATGAGTGTCTCTAACGTCATAAAAGTCAACCAACGGAGGGCAAGACTGAACACCTGTACGCGGTGTCCTCTACGAACCTGGGAGTGAAATATTCTCCCAGAGCCAAGTTCAGTCAAATTTCGCAATATCAAAGAAGTTGGCCCACGAGGCAAAAATCCAAATTACTCATCCACGTCGTTATTTCGCTCCCAACGACTTTGACTCCTATCTTCGTCTCATCGAGTCTACAAGTACGACTAAGTACATCCTCATTCCAATGACCACACCACTCTTCGACCTTCTCTGGCCTCAGCTGGTCACCAAATACACGCCCACGCCGATATTTATACCCGACGGAGGAAGGAAAGCGTGGCGCACAAATCTGGGAAACAGTTCTTTGGGATGGATGTGAGAGGGATCTGGACAAGTTGACAAGATGATGCGAAGGACGGATATAACCTCGAAGGGCATGAGATTCCGAATTTTGGCGAGGAGTTTTTCGAATGGGCTTTGTGCGCGCCAAGACTTCGCTTGCGAGAGTGCAGCTGACACTATAAAAACAAGCAAACGATGGAAGGTGTTGTAGTCCGCCTCCTGGTGGTGTTCTCCGGTGTGGTTTGAGTAGCCTGGGCACCTACTCCACTTGGGAAGGAGACATCTCAGACCATATTTCGCGCGGAGAAAATTTGAAAGATGATGGAGGCATGTCTGGATAACCCAGGGTTTTTGAGACGTTCCCCTGGGTGGGTATTCACGGATGAGGGTTGACTTGGGGTGAAGAAAAAGCCACCATAACTTCGCAGTGGTACTTGCAAATGAAATCTGAGGCATGAGT